GGATACAGACACGGATTAGCGATCAGCAGCAAGGTTAACAGTAACCTTCTGTTATATTGCATATATTCTCCATTTATATTCCTTATTTTATCTATTTCACCCAGCATATTTGTATACATTTTTTAAGACATTTTTAAAGGCTCATTTTAAGGTAACAGTAACTTTTAAAGTCACAGTAACCATCTGTCATATTTCATATATCCTCCATTTATATTCCATATTCTATTTTATCCTAGAGTTGTAACTTTCCACGTTCATACACACTACAAAGCATTTAAGTATATTTAGTATATTTTAATATATCCATCTGAACCTTCCACACAGGGTAGCTCCTGGATCACATACACCTTACTGTGTAAGACGTTACACAGAAAAATAGGGGACAATCTGCTAAATACAAATAAAACAAAAAAACATAGCATATAACTGTGTGGAGACTGGTATTGATGTGCAATCACAAGTGGTCACTCACAATTTTGAGGAGTTAAAAAAGCCTTGAGTGGTGTCTTTATGGAGTTAAAGCAGCTTTAAACAGTATCTTTCCGTATCCAGTGTGTTGTTCCTCCTCACATATTCCTCAGCAAATAGGTATATATGTCTCAAAGAGAGAAAATGTACAAAAATGTAGTGCACTTCCAGAATATAATAAAAAGTGTTTTAATGACTTACATTTAAGAATAAAACAAACAGCATGTCACCATAAATGTCCTACGCGTTTCGTCCTTAAAATGGACTTCCTCAGGGACTTGGTATGATAAAGTGCAGTCAGAAATAGCAGCAATAATAACAATATCCCCCCCCCCCCACAGTCCTTTATATACACCCCCATTTAATCTTTAAAGTCTTTCAGCTGGTTTTCAATTTTCAATTTCGGCGGTTTGGAGTCCGATGACGTCATCACGTCCGCCGCGTGCGTTCCACCATGCGTTCCACAGACCCGGAAGTGGGTCGCGATCGTCATTCTCTCTCTTCTATTTCCATGCATTGACTCAAAATGCATACAGACAGGTGGATAAAGCGAAAAAGGGGAGGAACAAATAATTAAGAAAATGTTCTGGACGGCACTACAAACTAAATAAAAAATCTAATGAATGTACATTCTCACTAAGATCTAAAATTAAAGACACATATGTGTATATATATATCCCTTTTTCATTAGATTTCACAAAACATTTTCTCACATACTTATCATACATATTTCCTTCTTATTATATAAAGTGCATGAAAACATCTTGGATAATTTTAAAATTGTAACAAACTATACATATATAGTATATAAACAATGAGCCCATTTACATTGCACTCCTTGTCTCATTCTTAGAAAAGAATAAAGATTTTTTTGGGAAAAGCTAAACCTTCAAAGTGAAAAAATATAAATATGATAAAATAATATATAATCAAAATAATATATGGTCAGACCACGATATGATAATCATAGAAGTGATGGTTAGGCAGAATAGGGCCCCTCCGATATGGAGATTGGCTGACTATTTATTAAAAAATAAGAACAATGTCGTATATATAGAGAGATTAATGGCGCTTTTTGTTAAGGATAACACATCTGAAGACATCTCCAAGGAATGCCTTTGGTGTACGCTCAAGGTGGTAATTAGAGGGTATTGGATCAAGTTGGCTAGTCAACAGAAGACAAATTGTGATAGCAATCTGACAGATCTATACATTGAATTCTACAATCTGGCTAAAGCCAATAAAAGCAGCTTCTCAGAGGAAAGAGCTCTACCTATAAAGATATATCAGGAAAAGATAAATAAACTAATTAGTAACAGAATTGAAAGGAATTTAACACGAGATTTTACTATAAGGGGAACAGAGTAGATGCAATGTTATCTCAGAAACTAAAAAAACGAGAGATAGATCAAAAGATCCACAAACTAGAGAGCGATCGAGGGCTATCGTAACATATATAAATCTGAGGATATAGCAGATAAATTTAGATCCTTTTATACAAAGCTTTATAATCTGAATGTTTCTCCCAAGTTATCTAAGGTAGAGAGATACTTGAAAAATTAGAATTTAAATACAATTTCTGCCTCCCAGAGGAATTATCTAAATAAAAAGATTACTGAAAAAGAAGTAGAAACGGTAATTAATAAATTGGATAATAGTAAAGCTCCTGATCCAGATGGGTATCCTAACTTCTTTTATAAGGTATTTAAGAAACAGCTAATACCGTTAATGACAGCTACGTTCAATGAAATTGCGGCTAAAGGGTCCGCTTCACAAGATTTATTAAGAGCACATATAATCCCAATACTTAAGCAGGATAAAACACCCACGGAGGTAGCTAATTACAGGCCTATGTAGACGTTAAAATTTATGCAGCCATTTTGGCTGAAAGGTTGAAGGAAATCCTGCCGACAATGATCCATCAGGATCAGATAGGATTCATGATGGGAAGACAGTCCAGTAATAATTCTCGATGAGTGTTGGATACACTGGATTGGGCACGGGCCGAGGAACTCCCCTCCTGTCCCTGTCGATAGATGCAGAGAAAGCCTTCGACAGGGTGGGATCCACCTTGGTACAGTTTGGCTTTGATGGATGGTTTTTGGGTGCAGTAGGAGTAATCTATTCGAATCCCACTGCAAGGATTGTGGGGAGAGATTTATGTTCAGAATGGATTGGGATTTCCAACAGAACAAGGCAGGGGTGCCCCTTGTCGCCGCTGCTGTATGTGCTAACAATTGAACCCCTAGTTAATTATATTAGGAGTAATAGTATGATTATGGGGGCGGGGCGGCAGAAGGATACGTGGAAAATATGTCTGTATGCGGATGACATTTTAATATCCATCACTGATCCTCGTGTCTCCCTGCTATTTTTGATGAAAGAATTTGAAAATTACAGCTTAGTTTCTAACTACAGACTAAATATGAATAAAACAACCGTCTTGGCGACTAATATACATAGAGATATGTTAATAGCTTTGAAGAGTGATTATGATTTTAATTGGACTACAAAGGATTTTGAGTATCTGGGATTAGTTATTACGGCAGATCCTAGGCGTGCCATGGAAATAAACTTCTTAAAATTGCTGAAACAGACTAATGCCTTATTAAAGGAATGGGAACCGTATGAAATATATTGGTGTGGTAGAATCAATACCATAAACGCTTATATAATCCCAGAATGGAATTATTTGTTCCGGATGCTCCCCCTATTGATTTCTTTGCATTGGCTCAATATGGTTCAAAGTAGCATCACAAACTTTATTTGGAGAGGTAAAAGGCCTAGAATTAACACGCACTTGTTGTCAAAGAAAGGCTTTCAAGGAGGGCCGGGTTACCCTCTAATTGTTCAGATTTACCAGGCCAATATGGTGGTTCACGCTAGCAAATTACAGATAATAACTTACCAATTTCAAACATGGTTTAAAATAGAAGTCCATAGAGTTGGCACAGACAACTTAGATGCTCTCTTATGTGGCGATGTGGGCAATAATAATGCCCTTCTCAACCTTGAAGAGAATTCTTCTTTGATCTTAACACAAATTCTTAAGAAATGGAATACTATTAAAAAAATTCTTAATATTAATAATAAAATGTATGCTAAAACTAGCATGGAATCTCTAGAATTAATTTATAAAGCTGAAAAATTGGTATATAAACTCAAGATACATAGTAAAGGATCTGTATGGTAAATATCAAATGAAAAGTTTTGAGGATCTAAAGAATATGATCGATCTACCGGCCAGAGAAGTATTTAATTACCTACGGTTAGCTTACTCAGAGAATATAGGCTAGTATTAGGAGGAGCCCTAGATAAATTGATTTCGAAGTTATTTTCAAGCTCAGAAATAAAGAAGACCCTAATGATTGCGGATGAATTAATAAGATTGAAGGAGAGGCCGGATATACCTATGGCCCTTAGTAAATGGGGAAAAGATTTATCGATTAATAAAGCATACAGGGATTGGTGTAAGGCTTTTGTCATCATTAAAAAATATATTCATTCCTTGAACATTTTAGAAACTTTTATTAAAATTCTTTATAGATGGTACATGGTTCCATCACAATTAGCAAAAATTTTATAGACGAATCCACCAAATTGCTGGCATTGTTTCCACTCAGTTGGGTCTTTGCTACATATTTGGTGGACCTGCCCCAGGATCAAACCGTTGTGGAGCTTAGCATTTAAGCTTGTATGCTATCTAGGCAACATATGCCTTGAACAAAAAGCAGAGTTTGCCTTATTGCACATATTCGGTAGTGACTCGAATGAAAGATCAGAATTGGTGATTTCTCACTGCTTTATGGCTACTAAATTACTTATTGCGAGATTATGGAAAAATACTGAGATACAGTCTAAGGATCACCTCAAAGCTCAAGTATTACTACAATTAGAGAGGGAAAAAAGGCCTTATATCCATGAATGTAATCTCTAATGATAGATTCCTGGAGCAATATATGATCTTGATCGAGAAGATCAAGGAATGGTAGAAAATCAAGGACCAATATGCATCTATAAAGTAATGGAGGTCTACAAGTGAGAGGCAGGAGGAGATTGATATTCGTGGTGAGCCATAATTGGTGAGGAAACCTTGAGCATTTAATATCTGACAATCTCTTTTGGAGGTTTTTAGTCAAAGTTGAGATAAGAAGGTGATGTGCTCTCTATCGACATGTAATTCATTCAGGCTGAAGAGACCAATATTGTATGTCCTTGTGAGAGTGAGGGGGTTACAAACTTCTGTATTTCTATTTGATAACGTAACAGAGTAGATTCACTGTATATGAGATCTATGCAAGTTGTTTATTTGTGCTGTTCTGTATATAAGTTTGAAGTTTGTAATCTCTGTAAGGATGTTGTTTGATATGGGAGAGATGTGCCAATCCACTCCCATATCTTAATTACTGTTTTCTTTTTTTATGTATGTCTAATTTTGTATTTGTCTTTTATATGAAATTCAATAAAGAATAAGGATTAAAAAAAAAGATACCACACAACCCAGTGTAGAACAAGAGTATGTACACACCGGAATGCACCCTACCTCAACTTTTTACCCTCAATATGTAAAAACTGACTCTATTAAGGTGTTCGAGAAGATGGTGGAAAAAGATTTTAGAGAAAAGATAACGAAAAAGATTAATAAAGACAACCTAACGAAAAGAGAGAGAAGTGCACTTAAAGGACTCAGGAAAGCTGAAGATCTAACCATCAAATCAGCAGACAAGGGAGGTGGGTTGGTCATCATGAACACCAAAGATTACACTGAAGAAAACCAAAGACTTTTAGGGGACACTTGCACATACCTCAAACTAGACAACGATCCTACCTCACAATACAAAGAGAGACTTTAAGGAATACGCGACCAAGGAAAGATAATTCAAATACTTATACACACAATTCCAGAGGATACCGGTATTTTACCTAAACCACCTGGGAGGCCTATTATATCTGGAATTGGATCCCTCACTGCTAATCTCTCAGAATACGTCAATTTTTATCTGCAAAACCTGGTTCCATGTCTGAAATCGTACTTGAGAGACTTTAGAGATTTTAAATCTTTTATCCAATTTTAACTGGGAAGAGAATATGTTTTTAGTGACAGCGGATGTCACCTCCCTTTACACTGTAATCGAACATCTCCAGGGATGCGAGGCAATACAATATTCCCTAGCCATCTACTCGGAGTTGAAAAATTACCAGATCGACTTTTTAATCCAATGTATTGCTTTTATCCTCACTCACAATTATTTCTGCTGTGATGACCAATTTTACCTACAAACAGAAGGTACAGCCATGGGGACACAATTTGCACCGAGCTACTCAAACCTTTTTATGGGAAAGTGGGAAGAAGAGTTCATATAGGACCACTGCCCATTCAGCGCGAATCTGTCCCTGTGGCATAGGTACATAGATGATTGCTTCTTCATATGGAAAAGGAACCCAGAATCCCTTGAAAAATTCAAACTCTACCTCAACAACAACCCACATCACCTCAAATTTTCTTTTAACCAATCAAAGGAGCAGATCGAATTTCTAGACCTTAATTTTTACATTGAAGGAGAACTCCACACAAAAACTTTTTTTAAAAGTGTCAATTGCAATAGTTTTATACCTTTTAATAGTCACCATAAACCCACATGGCTCAGGAATATACCTTAGAATCAATTCAGGAGAATCAGAAGAAACTGTTTAAAAACAGATATTTCTAAAGACCAAATGGGTGAAATGTACCAAAGATTCCAAGATAAAGGATACCCAGTACCACTCTTAGAAGGTGCCATGAAGAAAGCCCTGACCATTCAGAGGGAAGAGACTCTATGTAATAAAACCAAAGATACAGAACCGTTCAACTCAATCCCAACATTCATCACCAAATGTAACCATCAATCACGCACTATAGAGAGAATTCTGAGGAAACACTGGGGAATCCTCAGAAATGACCCAACCCTCTCTAAACTTCTTGATACTAAACCAAAAATCATATTCACCAAGGCTCCCAATTTTCAACTTCTACTGGCCCCCACCATGAAATCCTCGAACAACACCATCGACCAAGAACCTAACAAAGGCTTCGCAAGATGCAAGAAATTAATAACCGGTAAAATTACCCTTCCTTAGAAACAGTGACCACAAGTTTTTTCATCTATGCACAATATGGAAGAATTTGATTTAAAGACAGATTTGAACTACAACACCCCAGGAGTATTTTACCTCATTACTTGTCCCTGTCCAAAACAGTATGTAGGACGCACAAAAAGACCGCTTAAAACAAGAATTGCGGAACATATCCGCAATATTAAAAAAGGGCCTTCCAACACACAATCTGTCTAAGCATTTCCAGGAATTTCATGGAGGGGACCCGACGGGACTCACTTTCCTAGCCATAGAAAAGGTTAACGTTCATTGGAGAGGAGGCAGTATAGAGAAGAATTTAGACCAGACTGAAGCAAGATGGATATTCAATTTGGAAACTCTGGTCTTAATGTGGACTTTGAACTTCGTGCATTTTTATAGACCAGTCCAATTTTTGAACTCTTTTTTAACTACCATTCTTTTCTCATCTTTTATTGTCCATTTTTATTATCAAATTCAATTTTTTTTTCATTGTCAATTGCATTTTCTTATTCATTTTAATTCATTCTCCAATTGTCCAGTCTGTCTGTTTAGAACTTAGAAACATAGAATGTGACGGCAGATAAGAACCATTCAGCCCATCTAGTCTGCCCAATTTTCTAAATACTTTCATTAGTCCCTGGCCTTATCCTATAGTTAGGATAGCCTTATGCCTATCCCACGCATGCTTAAACACCTGTACTGTGTTAACCTCTACCACTTCAGCTGGAAGGCTATTCCATGCATCCACTACCCTCTCAGTAAAGTAATACTTCCTGATATTATTTTTAAACCTTTGCCCCTCTAATTTAACACTATGTCCTCTTGTTGTGGTAGTTTTTCTTCTTTTAAATATGGTCTCCTCCTTTACTGTGCTGATTCCCTTTATGTACTTAAATGTTTCTATCATATCCCCCCTGTCTCGTCTTTCCTCCAAGCTATACATGTTAAGATCCTTTAACCTTTCCTGGTAAGTTTAATCCTTCAATCCATGAACCAGTTTAGTAGACCTTCTCTGAACTCTCTCTAAAGTAAAGTCCTTCTGAAGATACGGTCTCCAGTACTGCGTACAATACTCCAAGTGAGGTCTCACCAGTGTTCTGTACAATGGCATGAGCACTTCCCTCTTTCTACTGCTAATACCTCTCTACATCTATTTTTCATCTCATCTCCTCCCATTTTTAATTGATCTAGTGAATGCTTTTTATTTTTTTTTCTCAATTTAACTGTTATTGTGATCTATAATTTTTATTCCCCATCTGCATTTATCATAATCTTTCCAGCCATCCACTGTCTCATCTGTGACCTTTTATTTTTTAGACACACCTTCTAGTCCCTTTCTTTCCAGATTCCCTTTCTTTTGTTTCACCCCCTTACCCCTTTATTTAAGACTATTCCCATTCCACTATACTTCTTCTAGTCTATCCATTTTCCACTTCCTTTATTTTTCTTTTCCACCATGCGTTTCACTGTTCTCTATTAGGTAGATCCAGCACCATTCCCCCTTAATCTTACCCATTCTCTATACAGACCCATATATTTTTTTTCCCATAAGCTATCGTTAGCCACTTCTTTCTAATAACCCGTAGTTCATTAGGTCTTAACTCACACGCATCTTACTCTCTTTTACACACCGTTTGTATTCCACACACACATACAGATATATTCAACTCCCCCCCTTCTTTATTCACATCATCGCGAACCACTCCCACTATTCTAATCCGATCTTACCTTCGCGACCACATATAACTTTCTTCTTCTCACTATACCGCACTACTTTCTTAGTCATCCCTTAAGACCACGACCACTACTACTACACATATATCTTCTCATATGTTCCTGTCATTTATTTCCCTATTCACATGCTTCTATCCTTTATCTTAGATATTAACACTATGCATTCTACACCTTCTTCACACACGACTGTGACAACCTTCCACTTTGTGATTTAATTTTATCATTCTTCATTGTGTTGTACCACCTATTACATAGATGTATCTATTCTTATTTGTATCAGTTTTATTTGTATTATTTTCATCTGTATTATAAGTATTATTTTTATTTCTATCTATATTTCAGAATCTTTATTCAAGAATCCATGCACCAGAACCTCCATAGACATTGAGTGTCAATTAATAAGACCTAACCCATTTTACAATTATAGAGGGTTCACAAGTATAGATGATATGTAATGTCCGATCTACAATTATTCCATGTGCTGATGTTACATGCTCTTAGATCTGTCTTTCGTTAGGTTCCGAAAATATCTGTATATATAAACATGAAATCAAACTTTTATTTTACCTTCTTCAACATTTATATGCATTCTCATGATAACTGTTATTTTAGAAGTACATGATAATGCATACATGTAACCAATTAATTCACATCAACATTCCTCCAGCATTCATACTAGCAGTGGCGTACTAAGGGGGGGCGGGGGGGGCGGTCCGCCCCGGGTGCCAGCCGGGTGGGGGGTGCCAGACCAGCTCCGCCGCCCCCCCCCATGCTGCAGCCGCCCGAGAGCTCTGTAAAGAGCCTCGGGCGGCTGCAGCTTTGCCCGGGCGGTGCGTCCATGAGGGCGGACCGCACCGCCCGGGCGCAGCCTGAGGAGAGGCTGACAGGAGGGAGCGCTCCTGTCAGCTCCCTCACTGCAGCATGGTCCGACGGGTACAGAGAGCAGCTGTCTCCTGTACCCGGCCGGACTAACAGGAAGTGCACACTCAGTGTGTACTTCCTGTTAGTCCGGCCGGGTACAGGAGACAGCTGCTCTCTGTACCCGCGGACTATACTGGGCTCGGCCACGCTACAGCAAAGGTAGGGGGGGGAGAGAAAGAGGGGGTGAGGAAAAGGAAAAGTGAAAAAGAGGACAGAGAGGGTGAAAAAGGAGTAGCAAGTGAGAGAGGGGGTGAAAAGAGGAGAAGCAAGAGAGATGGGGGTGAAAGAGGAGAAGGAAAAAAGGGAGGAGAGGGGGTGAAAAAAGGAGTGAGAGGGGGGGTGACAGGAGGAGAAAGGGGGGGGAAAAGGAGAGGGGTGGAAAAAAGAGGAGAAAGGGGACAAAAAAGGAGGGGGGGGTGAAAAAAGAGGAGAGAGGGGGGGAAAAGGGAGAAGGGGGTGAGAGAGGGGTGAGAGAGAGGGGGGTGAGAAAGGAGGGAGGGTGAGAAAGAGGAGAAAGGGGGGGTGAGAAAGGAGGTGTGAAAGAGAAAGGAGGTCAGAAAGAGAAAGGAGGGGGAAGAGAAAGGAGGGGGAAGAGAAAGGAGGGGGAGAGGAAGAGAAAGGAGGGGGAGAGGAAGAGAAAGGAGGGGGAGAGAAAGAGAAAGGAGAGGGGGGGTGAGAAAGGAGAGGGGGGGCGAGAGAGAAATTAGGAGGGGGGAAGAGAAATTAGGAGGGAGGGAGAGATATTAGGAGGGGGGAAATAGAAATTAGGGGGGGAGAGAAATTGAAATTAGGAGGGGGGGGGAGAAATTGAAATTAGGAGGGGGGAAGAGATATTAGGAGGGGGGAAAGAGAAATTAGGAGGGGGGGTGAGAGAGAAATTGGGAGGAGGAGAAGGAAATTGGAGCGGGAGGAGAGATTTACATTCATCACATACACACAATGCACCCCTTGCACACAGAAAAACACACAATGCATTACACACACAGACACACATACACAAGCAATGCAACCGTTACACACAATGCATCCCTTACACAGAAACACACAATGCATTCATTACACACACTCAATGCACCCCTTACACACATTCAATGCATCCCATACATACACAGAAACACACCTTGCAGCCCCTACACATACAAACACAATTTCACACAATGCATTCCTTACACACATATCAGGACATCCCCTACACACTCCACACCCTGTGAACAAACTCATTGGTGGAACATGAAGGTGGACCCTGGGACCCAGACCTTGAGCTGTGTAAAGGACCCCAAAAAAATGGAGCTGCTTCCCGTTCTCCCAGAACATTGATTTTTGTGACCACAGTTACAAACCGCCTCCAGAGAGCCTGTTCTGCACCAGACCAGTGGAGCCAGACTGCAGCTAGAGCTCATCATCATCCTCATCTGGTTGTAAGTAGGCAATCTAGTATATTATTCGTGGCACTAAGCTCTAATTTACCTCACATTAAAGAAACACTATAGTCCCCAGAACCACTCCAGCTTAATGTAGTGGTTCTGGTGTCTATAGCCTGTCCTTGCAGGCCTTTTAATGTAAACACGGCGGCACTGCAGCACTGGCGTTAGTTAACATGGAAAATCATATGGGTGGGGCATTGTGATGTCACATGGGTGGGGGGCGGCAAACTTTACTTTTGCCTAGGGCGGCAAAAATCCTTGCACCGGCCCTGGCTGGAGGGGGCTGTGTGAGCTGTGGCCGCACAGTGTCCCATGGTAGTTAGGGTGCCGTGCAGCCAGTACAGCTCACACAAGCAAACAGCTGATAAACTGGCCGCACGGAGGAAATGTGTATGTGTGACTGTCTGCCTGTGACTGTATGTGACTGTCTGCCTGTAACTGAGTGTGTGACTGTCTGCCTGTAAATGTGTGTGTGACTGTCTGCCTGTAAATGTGTGTGTGGGGCTGCAGGGATTTTGTAGAAAGGGGCGGGGGTTTTGTATTGGGACAGGAGTCTTTACAAATTGTAAGAAAAAAAAAGAGAACCTTTAAAAAATTTTACAGGTTTGTTTTTTTTTGGGGGGGGGAGGGGGGGGGGGTGCCAAGCACAGGATCCGCCCCGGGTGCCAAATGCTCTAGGTACGCCCCTGCATACTAGTATATGATAATATACCTCACACCAGTTTTTAATTGTCATTTATAAGATATTATTTCCTTGTATTTCTAATCACGATTGCAACAGTATTCTAATGTATAACAAATTTATGTAGTTCTTTCTTCCTTTATGTATCATAGAAATTACACATGTGTTTCTATTTATTATTGCTCAACTGTATCAACAATCCTGTATTATTACAGAGATCAGGATACCTACACCACATATAACTGTTGCATTTTATATTCTACCCAGCATATTTGTATACATTTTTTAAGGCTCCTTTTAAGTTAACAGTAACTTTTAAAGACACAGTAACCATCTGTCATATTTCATATATCCTCCATTTATATTCCTTATTCTATCTATTTTATCCTAGAGTTGTAACTTTCCACGTTCATACACACTGCAAAGCATTTTCAAGTATATTTTAATATATCCAACACAGCTAGGTTGCAATGCTGCTGCCCATCCCATGTGTTCCCTATTAAGGGTTAATAAGCATGTAGGGATGTATATAAAAAATACCCCTTTCTGTCTCATTAGAGATATTTTGGCCAGAAGCTCAAAGAAGCAAGGTGAATGGTTAGTGTTAGGACCCACCTAAGAGGTATGCATTGATGTGGCAGGGCTTACCCTCTCATGGCCATTGGAGGTAACTCCATTACGTTACCCTTGCCATCCTGACACCTTAGCCTGATACATTATGGATGCATCCATTTGATATATATTAGGATACTCAAATTGTATCATTGTGGCATTCATTCTGCTACTGTGTATCTCCTGTGTCAGTATATCTAGTTCTTTTCCAGCTACTCTACTGGGGTGTACTTCTACACCCCAGAGTTTTTTATTTTCACCCAGTATTTTATTTGTCTGTGTTTTCACCTCCTACTGCACATTACCCTTACCCATGTCCGTTCAGTATATTTGAGCATTTTGCCACATTATATTCTTTCAATGTGGTAATTGTAGTATCTATATTAATATATTTTTGTTTGTTTAGTTTTTGTTACCAATAAAGTATTCCTTTGATTTTAAGTAATTATTGGGACAGATTTTCTCTCCTGTTTCTGACATTAACAGTTAAATTGTCATGCAGAAATTGAAAAATTACTTTTTAGATTTTATTTATATAAAATGGAGTTCCATATATGAATGTTTGATATGAAATGAAAGCTCTGTTTCCCCTGAACAAAATGATATATAATAAGTGTGGGTGCACTTGGTATGAAAAAGGTAAATTATTGTTGAACAGACATATAGTAAAATTCTGTGGTTTGTTTACATTTTGTTTTGCTCACAATGTGCACATTTTGCTCAGACCTTAAGGGGTTAATAAGAAGGGGGGGGGGGGAGCATCTGTGTTATTGTGCAGTGGTCCAACATATTTTTTTCCGTTAGATACCTATTTAACCCCTTAAGGACACATGACATGTGTGACATGTCATGATTCCCTTTTATTCCATTAGTTTGGTCTTTAAGAAGTTAATGAAGGTTACATTGACTGGTGATTTTAATCGACTGAGCTGTATGGTGCAGTAGTAGATGGACACTAAATACACTTTAACCTTACCATGTTAGCCCATTAGCTCTGTGTATGTGATTATTTCTCTCATATGAATGGTGTTTATCCCACCCTAAATGTCTGTAACTTATAGCTTCTTTAATATTGGGTTATTAACCCAATAATGCCTTACCCCTACTGTTAGCACTTGTACACAGCCCCCTCCACATATGTACAAACACTATGCTGTGAACATGCATAAAAAAAAATATATATATATATTGGTCATGTCTCTTCAGCCAGCCATCCCCTGCCCCCAACTCCCAGGAGAATAACAGCCTGCCGTAGCGCGGTCAGGGAGGCGTGACCGAGGGCGGAGAAGCAGGAAATAATTCAGGCGACGGCGGAAGTGACCCAGCACGGTCAAAGAAGGAGGAAGGAAGTGACGTCGCTGTGGTCCCGAAACCCGGAAGCGGTGGTGGACTGATAGTGAGTCTTGTGCTTGCGAATTCATTTTGTGTGTGACTAGCGATTCAGCGCGTGCAATGTTAGGCTCTGACATTTACATTTTGTAGGATAAGAGGACTACTTGCTTGCATGTGTTTCTCCTATCAATTGGCTAGGCGTCAAACGACTGCTCATGGGTATAGGCAGTGGGGGGATTACAAGTCCCAAAGCTCTCTGCATAATACTAGTGCTTCAGAAAGATGGCGTGGCTAGCACATATTGTACTAGTAGTAATCGTTGTTTTACAAAGCAGATCAAAGTAATGTATTAGTATCTTAATTCAGTGTTTGTCGTCAGAGCTCATCCTTCATGGTACTTCTATCTTTGTTTTTGTAAGCCATTACTTTATCAATCTATGCCAAAGACATCTAGTACAAAACATTTTTACCCACTCCTTTTCTTTACTGGCTTAAAGGAACACTGACGGACCGCCTGGCAACCCGACCAGGTATCTCTGTCAAATCGCTGCTTCCTAGTACTTGCAAGCACCATAACCACTGTAGACCCCCACGAACTGCCGCAGCTTGGTCGGGGTCTCACCGTCCTCCACCCACCCTGGACCCAAGACCAGGATCCAGCTTTCAGTGGGTAAACCTCTCCTAGTCCAAAGAGCGTAGTAGGAACAGCTCTTATAAGAGCTAGTGATTATACTCAGGGGAGTATTGTGATATAGCAATCCCCCGAGTGACTATAGTTCTCCAATCCCCTAAACATGAGCCAAGACTTCATGAAGGGGTAAACGAATCTCTCTCTTTTTAATGGGAGCCACACTTGGCCTTTTATGACAATCCCCATGCAAGGGGTACCCCACATGGACCTTGCTGGGGACTCCAACACAAAGACACAGACCAATAAGAACAGTGATTAAATGCTCGACACTCCCAAACATACAGTCCCTCCTCCCTGCCTGGAAGATAATTGGATCAGTAACTGTACTAATTATAATCCAATTATCTCCAAGCACAGAAAAAAACATACTTTTTTTTTTTTTTTTTTTTTTTAAACACACCAAAAGTACCCTAAAAATAAATAAGTCCCCACAAATGTTACATACCCTGATCTGGGTGACCAACATATCCCAAAATCACACAGATCAGTTCCGGGGTTCAGGAATTTCCTGGAAGTAATTTCTTTTTGACCGACCGCAGGCACGGTCCCAAAAATAGTTCCATAGAATTGCGGCTGAGTGCCGCTTGAGAACCGACCGGGAACCGTGACGTTTTCATACCGAAAATAGTTCCAGGGCATTCGTGGCTAAGTCCCCCTGAAGTCTATTTCAGTTTTGGTCCATGCGAACAAGATGGCCGCCACCTCGTGGTCGTCCACAGGAATTGCGGCCACCCAGACGAACACTTAAACTCCTGCGGTGGAAATTGCAATAATATATCAATTAAGCTTAACAAGCTTCAGGGTGGTCTCCGGTTCGTGCGGCTGTACGGTAAATTAACCATATAGTCCCAATTGCACAAACAGATCCTGTTTAAAGTATTTTAAAAAGGTCTATTGCAGGGGCCATAGTCACAGGGTAGGAGGCTGGCAAACAGACCCCTCCAAAAACCAGTGGTGAGGTTACTTTCGCCACAAACACTATAATGTCAGAAATACAAACGTGTATTCCTGACGCTGGTCTCTGCACTGAAAAGGTGTTTAAAGTCACCTTTTTCACCAAAGCTGTACCGGTTTCGCCACAGCTAGTCCCTCCTGGCTTCCCTCCATGACTGAGATCATCCATCGTTCTGATCTCAGCCAACACTTTAGAAAACATTGGGAGGCTATTGCACATGTGAACGAAAATTAGCATCATCTTTATGGGGAATGTTCAGCATCTCCATGATAAAGGAAGCACCTCTAGTGGCCGTCTGAGTGACTGCCACTATTGGTGTTCCTAGGCAGCAATATAAACACTGTATTTTCTTGGAATAGGCAATGTTTACATTAAAAAGGCCTACATGGGTATGCTATAGACTGCAGAACCATTACATCAGGCCTGCGCAATATTTGGCCTGCAAAAAATGTTGAGGGCACAGAGGAAATGGATTCCGGCATTAAAAAAAAGGGTATTTTGTGGGGAGATTAATTATACAGTCACCCTCACCCACACTGTCATATACCCACACACTGTCACCCCCCACACACACACACACGCTATCATCCACCCACGCACTGTAACTTTCCACATATAATCACAGTCACTTTCCACACATACAGTTCCCTTCATACACTGTTACCCCTCTCACACACTGTCACTCACCTTCACACACACGGTCTCAATCTAATAATGAAAGGAATAAATTAAAGGAAGGGATAGAAAGTAAGGGATGAAAGCATGGGGGTAATAGAATGAAAGGAGATAAAAACAGTAAGCAGTAAAATAATGAAATGATACATTTTAAGGAGTAAAACCATGAACGGAAATGATACCCAGTAAGGAGAAAAGAATGAAAAACTGATCTACTGTACGGCTAAAAGCATGAAAAGAAAGTGTGTGTATATGTATATATATGTGTGTGTGTGTGTGTGTGTGTGTGTATATATATATATATATATATATATATATATATATATATATATATATATATATATATATATATATTTGTGTTAAGGGCTCATGATAGTACAGAAGATACAAACACTGATAAGTATGGGATAGTGTGAAAGAGCAAGTCGGTTGTGGTGTGCCGGAACCGACGATGAGGTAGGCCTGTAAATAAAGAGGGCCCACCAATAAGAAATGTATGAGAAAAAGGAGTTCATAAAAAGGAGTGGGTGGGAGGGTGATGCAGCGCTGACCTCGAACGGTATGGAGCCAGGTAAGGGGTGTCCCTTAAGTAGGGAGAAGGTGAGTCATACGCCCCTCCCACAATTACAGGCCAAAAGGCCTTAATACTTGTGTTAAGGGCTCATGATAGTACAGAAGATACAAACACTGATAAGTATGGGATAGTGTGAAAGAGCAAGTCGGTTGTGGTGTGCCGGAACCGACGATGAGGTAGGCCTGTAAATAAAGAGGGCAAAAGTAGAAAATATACTTTATTACGAAACGAGCAGTATACATACTTCAACCAGACATATCTTGAAAGGCATTTCTAACTTCTTGTACCGGGTTAGGTATGTATCTAGAGTATGCAGAAGACTTCCAGCGCCCTAGTGACTTGATAACATGTACTGGAATGTTTGCACTGGACGCTGTGGAGGCCGCCCCTATGCGGAAGGAGTGGCCCGAATAGTTAGCTGATTTTAGTCCTAGTTGTGTAAGTAGGGACCTGACGTGGGTCATGAAGGTGGTGGTAGTGAGTACCGAACCTTGTAGACAGAAAAGTGGTTGAGATGGTGATGCTTTGAAATGCTGAGTATAGGTGTCCAGTAATGTGACGGGGCACCACACGTTGTGGGTAGGATAGTATCTAACCTCTACCGGGGGTGCGTGTTGATTGGTTTTGGAGTGATGCAGAGTTAAAATATAGTAATCCATGTGTTTCGTTAAGTGTGAATGAAGCAGAATGTGAGTGGACTGGGATGTGTTGATGGCGGTAAATTCTCTTGGTCTCAAGAAACCATAAAAAGCTACGTATATGGCGGTTTTTATAACAAGGTTTGTGTTGTTCGCAAAGGGTTTCGAATCTAGTAGGCTGGATAAATCCTTGAAGATATTGAAGTCTATAGGTAGCCTTTGCGCGGTACGTGGGGGTTCGGATCTCTGGATACCTCTAAGGATGTTTTTTATCTGGTAGGAGGACATGAAACTTGTGTTGTTTGGTTGTAATGTTAGCATGTGATGTTGTATGCCTGTTAGATATAGCTTGATTGTGTTGTAAGATAATTTAAGTTTGAGGTGGCAAAAAGAAGCAAAACCTAACAAAGATGTCATGATGAAAGGTTGTGTGACGTTGTGCAGTGACAGGAATCTTTTAAATAGAAGGAAAGCCCTGTCATATGTTCTCCGGGTATTGGTGGACAGTGCTAATTGTGCCAATGTCCTGCTATGTTGCATAATAGCTTCTAGTCCATGACTAGCTGGTGGAAAGGTGGAGTGGTCGTGGCTGTACGTGCGGCTGACGGAAGTATTTGCCGAAAAGCCTGAAAATTGAAACGAGACAAACTGTCAGCAGCCGTGTTACAAACACCTGGGACATGGACACAAAACAAGAAGAAGTTATGGCATGCAGCCAGCCAGGTGAGTTTCCTCAAGAACCTCATAATGGTCAGTGACTTGGATCGGCCTTTGTTTATGATGTGGCAGGTAGCTTGGTTGTCTGAGTGGCAACGTACTGACGAACCTGCCCATAGATGCCCCCATGTCACGGCAGCTGCCACAATGGGATACATCTCAAATAGAGCTGAGGTAGTGGAAAACCCTTCCAGGTCCTGTACCTCTGGAGGCCAGCTACCCCAAAGCCATTCATTCCCGTAAATTGCTGCAAAACCTGTGGTAGACGCCGCGTCTGACCAGATGGTAGGTGAGGAGTCAGACAATTTAGGGAGAAACATGCTTTTCCCATTCCAGGTGGTCAAAAAGTTTCTCCACATAAGTAGGTCTGCCGTGGCTTGGGTATCCAGTGGTAACCTGTGTGCATCATGTCTAAACAGTGGGAACATGGTTAGGAGCCGTGAGATGAAAGCCCGGCCTTGAGGTATAATGCGCATGGCAAAGTTCAGTGACCCAAGTAGAGACTGCAATTCTTTGCGATTGCAAGTACCGAGGTGTATGTAGAGGTTAATGTTGGTGAGAATGTTCTCTATCTTGGTGCGTGGCAGGCTGGCTTGCATGGTGGCTGAGTCTAGCATGATTCCCAGAAAGGTGATGACTGTATCTGGTCCTTCAGTTTTGGTGGGGGAGACTGGAACACCCACCTGTTTGAAAAGACTGATGGTTGCTATGAGGCTACTGGGAGGGGAAGTGTTCTCTTCGATCAGTAAGAAATCATCCAGGTAGTGTATAACTGTAGGGCATCTGGCTACATTTAATAATAACCAGCATAATGTTTCGGCGAATACGTCAAAAATGGCCGGACTACTTTTTGAACCAAACGTTAGGCGTGAGAAAAAGTAGTAGTGCCCGGCCCACTTAATGCCATGCAGGTGCCATAGTGTAGGGTGGATAGGCAATAATTTGAAGGCATTTGTAATGTCAGTCTTGCTGAGCCATGCTCCGACCCCTGCCTGCATGATAGCTGTAATGGCGTGATCTATGGTGGAGTATTGAAGTGAAAATTCCTCAGAGGGGATAAGGGAGTTCAGACTAGGTGAGGCAGAGGTGTGAGGTGCAGACAGATCGATGATAAGTCTTTGTTTGTGGGAAGATTTCCCTGTGACAATACCGATGGGGTTTGTCCGCCATGTGGAAAAAGGAGAGGACTGAAAGGGTCCCAATAGGAAGCCCTCTGCCACTTCTTTGGCTATGAGTGTGCTAACCGCTGTAGGGTTTTGTTGTGCAGATTGTAAATTAGGACATTCAAGGATTCCTGAAGGCATGTGTATGAGACCAGTATGGAATCCTTGTGATAGACCAGTGATGATGAAGTCTACCAAATGTCTAGATGGATGTCGTGACAGTAATGCCGTGAGTACAGAAATATTTATCTCAGTTAAGTATTGCTTAGGGTACATTTTATTTGGACACATGGTTTTCGCATGTGCCCTAAAACATTTTGAACATATATGCAATAACCGACAACCGCTGTAATTACATGCACCGACATTGAAATTATTACATATTTGGGACTTCCCCAAAAACTTGATAGGTCGACCCAGTTTGTCTTTAGGTGTTCTCTCTGCTGACACAGCGGAGCTAGTGCCCTGCGAGGTGGTAGGTTCGTTCGCAGTGGTCGGACAAAAATTGGCAGTATGAGCCATGGAGGAGCAGTGTGCACAGGCCGGTGCTCTTAGACCTGCAAAGTGCCTGCAAAAAATGATCGTATCAATCTTACTCCAGTTGGACCTTGTCCCGTACTGTGAGAAGGCGCCAGACACTTTGGCAGAAAAAGATCTATGGTAGTCATAGAAAGCTGACCCACCATATTTGTTGCCCAGATCAACCAGCCTGTGCATATATAAGTCAAACTCCTCACGTCTGTGGGGATATACCGTACAGACCACATCCCGATAAATGCCAAAAGCTAATACAAATTCAGGAATGGTTAGCTTCCTATTTAATCGTGCATCCCTGGATTTGACCACCACAGAAATATCGTCATAAGCGTAGGTCTTATGTTCCACTATATCCTGGGAGGCAATTAGTAGTGAGGCCAGATTGACATCTTTACCTTCCAGGATATCTCTCCTGAGGTGCTCAGGAATCATGTGGGCAGGGTAAACTTCTTGGTCATCCGAGGTGATAGCTGGAGAAACTGATTGCGACTCCACCACTGATGGGGGAATTGCCGTGGCCGGTCCAGCCATAGTGAGGGCTGTAGTGACCGATTCAAGTTTCTCCAGCCTAGAATTGACCTTGCTCATGGATGTCATGAGGGACGTGAGCATGTCATGTATGTTCCTTGGGTGGGACTGGCTCGACCCTTCCCCAGCGTCCATGTTATCAGTTGAGGTGTGTAATAATTTGTAAAGTTCCGCTTTCCTTGCTGTTGCTGGAAAAGGGATTTGTCGTCTCCTGAGTTCGCTAGTGATACGAGGGATAGTCCATGATCTGAAAGATGCTGGACTAGCCGTATCTTCCTCCTGTGATGGGGTGTTGGTTCTAGCCGGAGTCCTTGGGATGGAGAAATCCTCTACCCCTTCTTGAGACATACTAGATTACAAAAGTATATGGTTAGCATAAAACCCCCCGAGGGGATGTACTGGCAGGCTAATTATGCCGGATAGGCGAAAAATTAAAACTTGTTCTTTGGTGACAGGTGAGGCCCTGCTAGTTGCCAAGTGGCTATGAGAGGCTCTATCTATGCGTTGGCGCGAGGGGTTATTGAGGCCACCCGACGTAGTGGCAGGAATTCGTAGGCCTCTCGGTGACAATACAAGAAAACAGGGGAAGGGAGTGACAGGTGGCACCCTCTCTATAATGCGAGGCGGCTAACTCACGTGTGGCCCGGGGGGCATTACCTCCGAAACGTTGAGGCGGGGTGTTGGCCTCGCGGACCACTAAACGATAGGCAGAATGCCCGGAGGGGGGATACCTATTTGGGCCTATAACCCCTAAAATTGCCAGTACTCTATGTCCTAAGTAGAGGAGGAACCATATGTGATGTATGGCGTGAGCAGGCTTAACGTACCTGGTAGTATGTATGCGTTTGATAAGCGATAGGTAGAGAAAAACTGGAAAAATCCTAAAGGGATAGAAAACCAAATATGATAGTGTGAGAATTGGATCCTATGATACCAATTTAGACTAGTTATATGTGATGAGTTCTAGTAGTACATATGGAAAGGGAATACATGAATGATATTGGCCCGACTGGCCCTGTATGTGGTATGGTAATCATGCTTGGGGGTGTGTATGATATGTCTCTGGTGACCAGATTAATGCGTATGATATAGTAATGCTAGTGTTTGTGGTATAATAAGGTGCAGGATTTAAAACAATACCGTATATGTTAGGCCGTAAACGTAAGCCATGAAAAGAGGTAAGTACGAGGTACAGAAATATTTGAGAAGTTATCCCAAAATTGGAAACAACGTGACGTATGAGTGGTTGAATCAAGACGTGTGATTCAACCCGAGAGTTTGTGAGATTTGTGAGACCGTGTTCTTGTGTACTTGGTATGTCGTTTGAGTACACAAAGAAAAAGTCAGAATATATAAGTGCCATGTAAGAAACGTGAGTACATGGTATGATAGAAACGTAATTTCTAAACATAATTTATAACGTAAATCCTACAAGCGACATCTGTAAAATGTAAAGGCTTGTCTAAGCTTAACTCCATAAATATATGTATATAACATGAAGAATTTCAATAAAACTTTAATAATGCCATATCTGCTAAGATTAAACCATAACCTAAATAAATACTTATTCATAAGTAGTTAACAGGGGTATTGCCCCAGTCATATGCAAGGATTTCGTAATTTGCATAAGCTAAATAACAGTAAATGACATGAAACCAATTATAGCTGATGATATGCAGAACGAATTTGCTTAATACAAAGAAAAACCGAAACCGATATGCCTGCCGGCAGCAAAGGGGTTAATATGCCTGTGACTTGGCCGTAAAGCGTGTGGCCGTAAAGTAAGGCCGTTTTAAATCGCGACGCCGTGGGAAATGATCCGGGCGACGGACTTACGATTTTGAAGTCCTGTGGACTTAATCTGCGACGAAAACACCGGGTATGTGCGCGGCTGAACGGGCGGAAAACCTGTAAGGATTCCTGGACACAGCTACACCAAACGAAAACCGCGGGTTTTTTGAAAAGCAAGATGGCGCCGTACGTGAACCGGAAGTGGATTCTCGATGCAGCGCTGACCTCGAACGGTATGGAGCCAGGTAAGGGGTGTCCCTTAAGTAGGGAGAAGGTGAGTCATACGGCCCTCCCACAATTACAGGCCAAAAGGCCTTAATACATATGGAGTAAAACAATGAAATAAAAGGACAAACACTAATACACTAAAACATCTTTGCGTTCCGAAGATGTTTAGACAATTTTAATTTTGACCCCTACGTACTGCTAAGTTATGCAGGTCTGTACTGGTTCTAGTGACTATAGGGTCCCTTTAAAGTAAAACTTCAGGCATTTACACAACACAAGTGACCTTATTTTTTTGCAAAACTAGAGATTAAAAAGTAGAGTGAATTTTTTTAAATTTTTTTTTTTTTTGGCAGCACAGTTTATTTTAGATGTTCTTTATTCTGGCTCTGTTAATTGAAATTTAAAAGACCACTCCACACACTTATTAAGCATTTTAGGGGGCTTTCCTTCTGCTGACGTTGGCTCCCCTGAGCTAACAGAAGTGGCAGGCGCGCTTCACTTGAGTGTGCCTGACTCCCCATGCATACCTCACATCAGCATGCTTAAGTGCACGGAGGAGACCTTTAGAGCTCTCCGGGGGGAAAAAGGGGAGGGCTTGTAAAGGCCGCAGTTCATAACAACTGCAGCTATTGCAAACTGTTGTAAGATATACCCCAAATAGGTAATATATACTGAAAAGTAATTTCTACCTTCTTCCTTTAATCACACCTTCTTCCTTTAATCACACCTTTAACAGTGCAGGAGATAAGAAATGTGTAATTAAACACTATGCAATAAAGGAAGAAATTGTTAGGGAGTCTTAGCAAGGCAAGGTGTGACTATGGCTCCTGAATTGCAGAAAATTGTATAATGAGAGAGCAGTTGCCTGATCTATACACCAAAACCACTTCATTAAACCAAATGTTGTCTTGAAGTTTAAACTGTCCTTTTAAGTACTGCAGTTATACAATACTTAATCATCTATTCTTGTCTAGTTGACGTACCTTAATGGAATAATTAAAAGTGATACTCTAAGCACTGCAGCATGTAGTACTCTAGCACACCCTCTTTCTCTATTGTAAGTAGCCATGCAATTTTTAGAATGGTTTACACTCTTACCTGGGGCCCACTGGAAGCTCCTAAACAGGGTATGCTCGCTGGGTGTTTGCTTTAGCTGAAATCTGGGTGTGATTCTAAGCAGGAAAACATTTTTTTTGAAAATGTGGGATACTGACCAGGCTGTCACTACATGTAGTGGAATAAGGCATTTGCCCAGGGCAGTAAAACTAATTGTACTGGCATATAATTTGTTTTGGCCTTTGAATCATTAAACCCTCTATGCCAAATGACTTGGCAAGACTGTCTAGATATGAAGAGAGTTTTATAAACCTTTTAACATTTAAGAAGAGGTAAAACCAATGAGTTCTGGTGTCTCAACAAAAAAAAGTTTAAATTACAGAGATGGTATCTTTAGTGCTAAAGTAACTTTTGGATATATGCACTGTAAATAATAGCATATGTTTTCTTTTTTTTTTCCAGGTTTATCCATGGACAGTGAGGTCCAGAGAGACGGACGCATTTTAGATCTGATTGATGATGCCTGGAGAGAGGATAGACTGCCGTATGAAGATGTAACTGTTCCCCTGGTGAGAGAAATCCACATCTATTTATTTTTTTTTTAAATCTTTATTTTTGTAGTGCTAATGATAAGTAAACTTGTTATGGCACAATAACAAACACTTCAAGAACAGACCATATGAAACCATAATATGGCATTCAGAGATATTGCACAGTTTTGATTGATACAACATGCTAGCAATAGACGTACGTCAGTAGGTAGTGAGGACAAGACTGTCAATCAAGCTATACTGACTGACTGACCATTTGAGTAGTAGTAAGCTGCACAAAATTACGTTATTTAACAAGATAAGAATGCCACTAGAGTCACCCACTAAATAAAATATAAATGCTAACTGAAAACATAAAAATACATTCTAAAAGCAGATAGTGGGTGGAGAGTAGCACAGGGTATGTAATACATATTTAATGGTGCCCTGTATGGGCCTTGAGGCCTAAAAGGGATAGGACACTGGATCCTAAGCCCCAGATTATATTTAGCCTATGCCCATTAGCCAGTGCAGCATAAGCAGAGGTTGCTGTAGCCTCCAGTTCAATAGAGAACCACGCCACCAGCCCCAGGCTCTAACACAGTCCAGCACTTGTTTCTCACTGGTCCGGCCACCTCAATCGGTCTGGATGGGGATCTTCTCTCCGCTTGTGGATTTCTCACTCTATTGCATGCATCCCAAGGCTGTGAGCTGTGCTTGGTGGGGTTACCCCTTGTAGACTGAGGCCCAGGTAAGTGACTGCAGATTGCAGGGTGGCTACCCTGGAGATGAGATGTCTTTACCCTCCACGTCTGTGTTTTCAGGGACGCGGCATAGCGGATCCATAGAGGCCTTGGTGTAAGGGCATGTCTAGTTGTGTTCCTGCACCCTTGCAGGGATTTTTACTCAGAATGTAGCCACTATTGGTCAGAGACCCTCTCAATGCATTCCACGTGGTAGGCCCTAAATGTAGAGACCTGTACTGCAGCCATCTTAACTGGAAGGCCACAAGTGAGCAGCCCTGTAGATTGTGTAAATTAGAGCAGCTCTCCATCTATCGCTAAGCTGGGTGCACGGGGACTCACAGTGGGGACCAGGATATAACATGCGTCCAGAGCCAGGAGATCGGCCACCTCTCCCAATCAGACCGCAGTCTTGTTGTGTCGCAGGGTCAGAGAAGTTCTGCCGGCCAGGCAGCTCTGGAGAACCCATACAGTATGGCACAAGTTGTGTCGTTCCAAGAGCATAATTAGTTTAGGCTTTAATGGTACACAGATAAGGAGCTCACCGAAAGTGCAGCCATCGCCATGAAAGTCAGGCCCCACCCCATCCAGTATATTTGATTACATTTACATTTTAATAGTAATATTAGAAAACACTTTCAAAGAAATTTAGTTTTTGGACATATATAAACATAGAAGTCAGGGAAAGCACAGCATTAAATAAAGCCTTTGGTTTTTCTTTTTTAAATCTATTAATATTTAGACATCACCCTGACTTTACCATCTCATTAGTACGCTTTCCACTCACCATAGGTTGACAAGGCCTGGCAACATTAAACAAATGTTATACTTTAAGCCGTAAACTGTGCGCAAACATGCACATTTTACAAGCAAAATAAATATGGACTCTGTTACAATAAACATAGCCAGACACAATTTAAAAATGTTTGGATTGGTTTAGAACCACTTTGATCAGGCTTTTATTTAAGATGGGCAGTTTTATTACCAACAAACTAAGGTGTTTTGTTTTTTTTTGTTTTGTTTTGTTTTTTTTCTTCTTCTTTGGCCAGGTAATGACTAGAGCTGAGCTGGTAATGATTTTCCAGAGCAGCTATTTTGACTAAATGTTATTATAATCCACAAGATCTATAGTAAATGGGATATTTCATCCCCAAACTGGAGGGGTAGAACAACAACTGGATGTCCCCAGGTAGTCTAAGCAAATGCAGAAAGGATGGAGACCAGGCAGGATGGTGGTTTCAAGCTAGGCTCTGCAAGGTTTCATGCCTATTTGTGGGTTAGTATACTGAGTCTCCTGTTTCTATTGGAGTGCAATCATTTTTCTAGGTTTAATTGCAAGTACTGGGCTGGACAATGAGAACTATCCTCAAATGTCACTCTGCAGTATGGTGCCCATTAAACAGCTTTGCATATTCACATGCCTCAGTGTTGCTGCATTGCCATGCTTATGTGGCTACACTCTGTGTCTCCCTTGAGTCCTCGATATCTCCAGGTCCTACTAGTTGAGGAATTAAAATTGGGTACACATGGATATTAGCTCTATACTGACAAGTGACTGAAAAGCAAATGGTTAACAAATTAAAATAATTATTTAGTCCCTCCTACCTTGCCCATAAAACCATACCAGGTTATCCATGAGCCAGTTTTTCCATAAAAGTAAACACACAAAATGCAATAGCGTGTGTGTGTGTGTGTGTGTATGTATTTATATTTATTTAAATTGGGAGGGATCTTGTACTGTCATTAAAGGAACACCATAACATTAGAAATACAAAAATGCATTCCTAGTGCTACAATAGGTGTGTTGTCCCCACCTTCCCAGTTTGCAATAAAAAATAAAGTTTTACTTCATTCTTTCTCTGCCTCCAGCATGGCCTCTTCCACAGCATTTTGAGTCATGGCTCCTCATTATGTGCGTGCCTGACAATTTTTGTGTGTACATTCATGCTTCTCCATATGAAAGCAATGAATTATAATTTCCTAACAGCTTCCATGTCCTGTGACCAAGTTTTACTCTGTTAGCGCAGTGCCTCTAGTACCGGTCTGTATGATACCCATACAGGTGGTATTAATCCTGTAATGTAAACATTATTGAAGTTTCTAAAACTACATTGCAGGGTTAAAATGACCATACCACGGGTCATACCGTCACTTCCAGGAACCCTTGTTCTTTATGCTGAAGATCTGTAGTAATAACTTTGGCTGTATTTTTTGAGGGTCTTTGCCATTCTGCAGAATACATTTTGGGCAAATCAAATGCCTTTCTGGTGCTAGTGGCATGATGGATGGGTATCTGTCTGTACTGCTCAGCATTGAGGAGACCATTTATTTCTGACCGAATCTTTTTGTTTGCAGAAATGCAGCCCAAAACATGCAAGGGAAACTATGCCAATTGTTGCCTGCAGACATTCATTTTAATAGAACTGATGCTGTTAAGAAGGCAGTGGTAGTTTTGATTCACTCACCTGCATTTTGTTAAACTTAATAAACTATTTACATGTTTATTTTTTAATGCATTATTGCTTTACAGCATTTAAAAAAAGAAAAAAATTAAAAAATATATATATTTTAACATCTGCCTAAAACATTTCCGGTACATTGCTGTTGTGCTGATCTGGTAACTATTGGTTAAACTTACTTATTCTTATATTATTTATATAAAGTAATAACATTTTGTAGAATGTAAATAAATACACTTTGCTTTTTTTTCTTCTCTTTATTTTCTTTTTAGAACGAGCTTCCTGAACCTGAACAAGATAATGGTGGTGCAACAGAGTCTGTAAAAGAGCAGGAAATGAAGTGGGCAGATTTGGCACTGCAATATCTACATGAAAACATTCCATCATCAGGGAGTTGATATTCTAGTTAAGCAACAAAACTGCCTGGTTCTATCTTTCTTAATTGGAGTTTGTGATTATAAATGTTAAAATAAATGTGTGTTCATTTACTTATTAAGAATAAAGTGTATTCTTTTCAAGCATTTTTTTTTTTTTTTTTTAAACATTCATAACTAGGACAAGGTCCTAAGGATGCTATAGTGTCAGGAAAACTAGTTTGTTTTCCTGATACTATAGTGATCCTTTAACTCCTGTAATGCCGCAACTCTACAGAAAGGTGCTATTAAATACTTCTGGGCAATGCTTAGCCTTTGCCTTGACAAGTATAGTACAAGCTTTCTTTTTATAATATATAAAGGAAAATTTATTCCTATTTACCGTAATTTTCTTTTTCTGATCATAGGCCATGGCAGCACAATAATGGGTATCGCCTCCCTATCCCTAATTAAACAGGAACCTAATTAAAACAGAAGGTATAAGTTACACCTCCCACCCTCAGTCTTGTCAGCAATATTCCAGGGCGGGATCTTTGTGCTGCCATAGCCTATGACCTGGAAAATAAAATGCTGGTAAGTAGGAATACATTTTCCTTTTTCCTGGCCATATCCATGGCAGCACAATAATAGGTAATACCCAAGCAATAACCAAGAGGGGGGGGGGAAAGTACACAAGACTTTCAAAACATGAATGCAAATTGACAACACACGCACCTCCATAAGGACATTGGAAATGAAAAACTGCCCACAATTACCACATTATCAAATGACCAACTCAACTGTACCAAAAAAAAAGTCTGAAAATTAGTGGTTGAGAACCAAGCAGCCATTTGCCTATAAGTTGCGGGGAAACCTGGCCACTAACACTCAAGAGGGAGAAATGGCTCTAGTGGAGAGCAAACAGACATTCGGGTACTGTAACCCCTAGAGCTTAGTAGACTGAAAATAGCCATCTGCTGATGGCTTCTATAGAGACTTGAAGACCATTTCTGGTCCATTAGTAAGGATAAACAGACTATCAGAAGAAAGCCAGATAGCAGATCTATATAAATATATCTTAAAACATCTATCAAATGTGTAAATTTGTTTCTAATTGTTCAGATTATGCTTTTAATTTTTATTTAGGACAGGAGGAGAAAGTTTCATTACTGACTCTATTTTTTTTATTCAGTAGGCTTTAGATATATTGTGGTAGGTATGGGGGGGATTGTGGAACCAGGGGGGGGATTGAGGTGAAGCATCCCCCCCAGGAAATCCTGCGGGGGGACAGGTAATGGAGAAATCTCCCCCAGTTAAATTTGGCATATATAGTTTTACTGCCTCTGCAAAACGATGTTCCATGCCACTTCTGCATTACCACAGCGCCAGCGCTACTCCATTCTAGAGTGAGTCGCTTCCTCCTGCACTCTAACCTTCTGGCAATCGGCCAATCCGCGGTCTTGTTGCTATGCGGTTGCGGATAGTTCCGATTGCCAGCCAATTGTGGTGCAGAGGGAGATCAAAAGAAAAGGAGGGGAAAGCAGGAGAGCAAAAGAAAAGGAGGGGAAAGCAGGAGAGCAAAAGAAAAGGAGGGGAAAGCAGAAGGAGAGCAAAAGAAAAGGAGGGGAAAGCAGAAGGAGAGCAAAAGAAAAGGAGGGGAAAGCAGAAGGAGAGCAAAAGAAAAGGAGGGGAAAGCAGAAGGAGAGCAAAAGAAAAGGGGAAAGCAGAAGGAGAGCAAAAGAAAAGGAGGGGAAAGCAGAAGGAGAGCAAAAGAAAAGGAGGGGAAAGCAGAAGGAGAGCAAAAGAAAAGGAGGGGAAAGCAGAAGGAGAGCAAGAGCAAAAGAAAAGGAGGGGAAAGCAGGAGAGCAAAAGAAAAGGAGGGGAAAGCAGAAGGAGAGCAAAAGAAAAGGAGGGGAAAGCAGAAGGAGAGCAAAAGAAAAGGAGGGGAAAGCAGAAGGAGAGCAAAAGAAAAGGAGGGGAAAGCAGGAGTCAAGGAGGAGAAGACCGTGTCAGAAGGCAAAGAAAAGGACATTGGAACAGAAAGGACAACATGGATGACAAGTGATCCTTCATCCTGGACACTGGGCTGAGACTTCGATACCTGACAGGTAGACTTTGGACCCTCTCATCATCCCAAGTAAAATAAAAAAACAAAACTATCAATGTATTAACTTTTTTGATTATGTAAGTTGTAGACATATTGGTTATTTTTAAAGGAACACTGTTCATCTGAAGTTGTTATGGTGTAGGCCGCCCGGGCACTCTATTAACTTAACAAGTTAAAACCTATCCAAGATCTTTAGGTCCCCCAGCAGACTCCAGCTTCTGAAACTGAGTATCAGAAAGGTCAGAGTGGCGCTGCAGGTTGGGTATGGCTTAAGAGTTACTGATTGGCTTAGAGCAGGCTTCCCCAAACCCCCGGCCCTCCAGATGTTGCTGATCTACAACTCCCATGATTCTATGAATGAAACAGGCTCAGAATCATGGGAGTTGTAGTTCAGCAACATATGGAGGGCTGGAGTTTGGGGAAGCCTTGCTTAGAGCATCAGGTGACCTCTCTAGCCAATCAACGACACCCACTACATCTGCATCCACACACTCTCTGCATCCATTATTTACACATTACATCCCTACACACACACATTGCATTCACTATACACAAACTACATCCCTACACAAACACCACACTCTGCAGTCACTATATATACTACATGCCTACGCAAACACACTCTGCATTCACTATACACACACTACATCCACTACACAAACACACACCATGCATTTATTATATACACACTACATGCCTACACAAACACACACTGCATTAACTATACATAAACTACATCCCTACACAGACACCACACTCTGCAGTCACTATACATACTACATGTCTACACAAACACACACTGCATCCAATATACACTACATACATTACACAAAAATACAATCTGCATCCACTATACACACTGCATCCATTGCACATTCAGGGCACCCACTTTACACATGCACTCTGCATCCACTACACACATTCTACATTCGCTATACACACATCACATTCAGCACATACTACATCCCTTTGGGTGGACTTGGGGGCGGCCCTGTGGGTAGACTCAGGGGTGGTCTCCGAGGGCCCAGACATTGAGCTGTGTCAGGGGCCTCAAAATTTCTGATGGCAACCCTGTCTCCATCTATTACAAAATACTAGGATAGGCAGTGTAACGGATCGCCTGGCACCCCGACTGGGTACCTCCGTTGAAGGATGCTCCTAGCACTTCCTGAGGACTCCAAGCACTGCAGCAGACACCAAAACCACCGAACCGTAGGAGCATATGAATGCTCTCAAGCATGTGAATGCTGTAGACAGTTGAATAGGAACCATATGAATAGGTTTACTCTCCTAGCAGTCAAACTGGAACAGCATACAATAAATCCTTCCCCCAATAATGAGACGACACTTCACTTTGAGGGTTAAAACAGGAACTCCCTGTACTGTCACATACAGTCTCTTTTATTCCCAATCCACAAACATAGTACAGCCCACAGGGCGTTACAAAACAGCCAATCAATCCATACAATACACCCAGACACTCCCACACAAAATCCTCCCCTCTGGCTGTGATATGATTACTGAACACAATGGGTAATCTAATTATCACAGCCAGAGAAATACAGTTTCATAAAACACATCACAGGGACCCCAAAACATGCAATAACCCCATAAAAAGTATATCCTTGGAACTGGGGGATCTGGGTGAACCACATATTCAAAATTCACCCAGATCCGTTCAGTACTTTGGAAAATACAGTCCAATGCAGATTCTGCAGAACATATACAGGCTAAATAAAAAACAATCACTGTATAATGTGTCCCCTGCTGTACAGTCCAAAACCACCGCACGATGTCTCTGTGCAACAAACACTGGCGAGATGGCACCGTGTTGAAAAGTCCACACAGTGTCTGTGAGTTAAAATGGCCGCCATCCATTGTTCTCACCATGTGCTTCTGATACAGGAAATGGTGGCCACCCAGTAACTCCACAGTATGTCCCCAGATGGTTCTTAAAAGGGCCAGCAGCAGCACAACACAAATCCATTATGCCCAAATCATGTCTTTAAATTGAAATACATCCCAGGGGCCATAGTCACATGGCAGGAGGCTGGCAACCAGGCTTCTCCAGTGCATAGTGGCGAGGTTGGTTTCGCCACAGGCAGTCTTACTTGGACAGATCATACCCCAGTAGAAATAACATTACAGTTACAAGGAGTTACTTGCCCAAATCTACAATTTTAGAGGCACGGTGGTGAGATCTAGACATTGGACTTATTTTTTTATATAGCCTACAGCTACTATAAAGTATAATGGTCATCTTTCCCCTTCTTTCATTATAAGGAATGGAACGAGACAGGGGTGTCCTTTAGACACACATGTTATTTGTTTCTAGTGATGGAACCACTTCTTCAACCCATTTGTAGTAATCAACAGATTAAAGGCTTTAGATTTCCTGTGGGGGGAGATGAAGGTGTCAACGTCCACAGACGATATTTTATTGTTGCTGATGGACCCGGTACACACATGTGCTGAAGGAGTTAGAGATGTTTTGTTCCCTGACTAACTTCAAGATTAATGTACACAAATGTGAAATATTGGGCCTGTACATCCCAAAAGAGCATAGGACACAGATAGCTAGTTCATATGGTTTTTGGTGGCACTCCACAAGTACAAAATATCTGGGAGTCTACTTTACCCCCTCTATAGCAGGTTTATACAAAGCTAACTACTTACCCCTCATTGTTCGTATACAGACAGACCATTGAAAATGGTGCAGTTCGCAAGATCGGAGATATGCGGAAGTGACGTGTCAGGAAGGCTCTCCCGATACGTCCTTTCCTTTGACGAGCAGAACCAATGAGCAGAGCCCCAGTGGAACCAATGAGCACGGGTATGATCTATACACTAAAACTGATTCAGTAAGCTAAATTTGTTTTGGTACCTATAGTATCCCTTTAATTCCTGGATAATGGCAGCTTGTTTCTCTACCTAAGGCTTTGACTGCCCTTCCTCGCCTCATCCCTTCTGCTAGATGCCCCTCTAGACAGCACAGGACACAGACACTGACTCTAATGGCTCTGGCCGCAAAGACCCTGCTGCAATAGATACTGAAAAGGACAGAGTGCCTACACCAGCAAGGGCAAAGACCTGACCACTTCTACACCACGGTCTCATGATAACTGAAGAGAGGAGACCAAACTGATTATGTGTTGCTAGATGTATACCCTGGGTACATAGATGAGGGCTCTACCCTTCCAGCTGCTGATGTTGAAATACTCCCATTTTGTGCGAGAGTTGTTTGTTGGTAACAAGGTTCAGACATTGTTCAAGAATGTCTTTGCAAAAGCCTGTTTTTACCCTAAGGCTGGACAACAGTCGAGATTCCACCAGTTCCACCTTCCAAGGCAATATACCCTTATTCTCTATGCTGTCTACGTCTCAACACCTATTGTAACCATATGGCTCCTTGTTGTGGTATTCCCGGGAACCTGTCTCAAGCTTAACACAGGTAAACGCTCTTTGACTTTATACTTTTTTTAATTGGCAGACAAAATTTTTCCCTCAGTGGTGCTCCCTCATTTCGATTCGTTCAGTCCCCCAGACTGTGACTGGCTATGTTACAGATTCCAACTGTTTCCTCTTGTTCAGATGCACATCTTAAACATGCAGAACTTCGAAAGCTCTTGGAAAAAGCTAACCAGCCAGTGCATGTTCCTTCTGTGGTTTATCAGCAATATATTTCTACTGTGGAAGAAGATGGGAGAACTTGTGTTTGTGACCTTGCACTACATCAAGATATAGGACATTCACCTTTTCAATCTCTGCCTCGTGGTGTTTTCCAAAACCAATTAAGCCTTTGTGTGATGTAATTCTTCTGTTGGTTCAGCATCTGGGCTCTCTTCGACAGTAAACAACCTATCTGGTTCAAATACTACAAAATCTGAGTTTTGTCCTCAAGAAAAAGTCAGCCTTGGAACCATAAGACTCAGTCCAATTCCTATACTTTGATGTAAAGTCCCAGACAGCTACCCTCTGTCTTCCAGCTCTCGTAATTCAAATGATAAAGGAGACATGCATCAGAATGTGGTTCCCGTCCAAACAAGGCCAGAATTATAAGCCTCCTGTCATCCTCCATCCATGTCCTCTACATTACTAGGCGTGTTCTCTACATGCAGATGCTCATCATCAGACAGCAGCTGCCTGTCACGGATCCCGGGCCCTTTGCCGGTGTGGCTGCACAAAAACTAAACAACCACGCCGACAGAGATGTTTCAGACTTACCTTGGCCCCAGCGGGCAGATGCCAGGTCTGCCTCCGTTCCGGCCCCCAGCGAGTCGACTCATCTGGACATAGTCCATTTTTTATTAACAACGTTCATCATCTTACTATCCTCCCTGCGGGGGGAGTACGGTCTCCTTTATTATCGACTCCAGGTCTTGTCGAGGGTCTTTACAGTATTTGGTTGATTGGAAGGGTTATGGGCCTGCCGATCATTCTTGGATTTCTGCTTCAGGTATACATGCGGGCCGCAAAATCTGTTCCTTCCATGCCAGGTTTCCCCTTAAGCCTGGTCTTCAAGTGGGGGGGCGGGGGGGGTACTGTCACGGCTGCCAGTCCCTTTGCCGGCGTGGCTGCACACAAACTAAGCAGCCACGCCAACAGAGATGTTTCAGACTTGCCTTGGCTCTGGCGGGCAGCTACCCGGTCTCCCTCCGTTCTGGTCCACAGCGGGCGCGATGTTTTTAGGAATGCCGGCTGCTACGGTTCGTGCTTTTATAAGAAACTTACCGTTGCCCACATCAAAGATGGTGCCAACGTGCGTGCGACGTCACATCATAGACGCGCACACATGTTTTCCGGTCAGAGGTTAGAGACAGCCAATTACAGCCTAAGGAGCGTTATTTAAACCCAAATTACCTTTTCATCGGTGCCCTGTCGTGGTTTCCACTACCTAGTTATCCAAGAGTGTGTTCCTGGTAGTTTTTTTTTCTAGTATTTGACTTTGGCTTTGTTTT